TCTCAAAACTATGTTGAAATTTGGATACAAACATAGTCATGTTAATCATACTATGTTCATCAACCGAGTTGATGGTAAAATAACCATACTCATTTTATATGTGGATGACATAGTGATAACATTGGATGATGTGCAAGAAGTCACCAAATTGAAATCTTAGTTAGCTAAGAAGTTTAAAATCAAAGATTCGGGTCCATTGACATACTTTCTTGGGATTGAAATTGTCATATCAGAGCAAGGCAATTTTATCTCCCAAATTAAGTTTGCTCTTGATCTTCCTAGAGAAACAAGTATGTTATGTTGCAGGCCCTTTGATTCGCCTATTGAAGCAAATCATTAATTGAGTAATGGCATTGGTGATGTAGTGGTTAAAGAAAGGTACAAAACATTAGTGGGTAGATTGATATATCCCTCGCACATCCGACCTAATATTGCATATGCAGCGGGTGTAGTCAATTAATTCATTCATGGTATTTGAGGTCCTCATTTTGAAGTCATTTACCATATTTTGAGATATCTCAAGTCTGCTCCAAGGAAAAGGATTTTATTCTCAAATCATGGTAACTTGAAGCTAGAAGTATTTGTTGATGCTGATCGGCCAAGTTCGATAGATGACAGACGGTCTACTTCAAGTTACTACTGCTTGATAGGAGCGAATCTTGTTAATTGACGAAGCAAAAAACAAGCGGTAGTAGCTAGGTCAAGTGCAGAGGAAGTGGCTGAGTACAAGGTAATTGCTCATGGATCTTGTGAGCTTATATGGCTCCAAATCTTACTGGGGAAGGTAGAAATTTTTGATGATGACTATAGTGTGATAACAAGGATACTATCAATATTACCCATAATCCACTTCAACAGGATAGAATCAAATATATTAAGATTGATCAACACTTCATTAAAAAAAAAAAAGCTAAACAAGAGTTTGATTGGCGTTTGTGAAATCAGAAGATGAGTTGGCAGACATTTTCATGAAATGACTTGGTGGCAAAACTTTTTATCCCCTTGTTTGCAGGTTGGGCATGCGAGATATCTATACAACAATTTGAAAGGGACTATTATGTTATGATATATATTTAGCTCAAGGGTGTATTTGTACTTATGTTTATATATATTCAAGTTGGGATTAGTTGTGGAGGAAAACACACAGCCCTAGACATACTCTTGCCTTTTTTTATTTCTCCAAGTTCTCTCCTCCCTTTCTAAACTCTAAAACTTCACAATCTAACTATGGATTATGAGATGCTTAAAATTAGTAAACTTTTCTGTCATGGATAATTGAGCTTCAAAGTGGTGTTTTAGGATTGGTAAGGATAAAGTGGAGGTGACCCATTTACAATTTTTTCATGACACCATATTTTTTTGGGAAATGGGGTGAAATGAATATTAATTCAATTTCTTTAATTTTGAAATGTTGTGAGCTGGTATCGTATGTTATACTTAACTTGTCTAAATGTGCAATTGTGGGAATCAATATGCATCAAGATAAGTTGCTTAGAATGCCTGAAGCTCCAAGGTGCTCTATCTCAAAGAGGCCTCTAAAGTACTTGAGTTTACCTTAAGGGGGAAAATCTAAGGTCTATGAGCTTTTGGAAACCAGTGGTACAAAAGATTGGAAAGAGGATAAATGAATGGACAAAAGGTTTTGAATCTAGGATTAGATGTACCTTAATGCATTTACTATTTGAGAGCATGCTTGTGTATTATATGTCCCATTTTAGGATGTCTTTGAAGGTGGTGAAGATGAATGAAAAAATGATAAGAGATTTCTCATGGGAAGGGATGGTGGACGACAAAAGAGATCACTTGGTAAGGTGGGAGATAGTATCTTAAACTAAAATTAAGGGTGACCTTGCTTTAGGTATTTTAAAGGCTAGGAATATCTTCTTACTCATCAAATTCTTATGGAGATTCCCACTAAGACTGGTCAGTTTATGGCATTCTTTGATCAAAAGCAATATCGTATTCAAGGAGTGAGATTCTAATGCAAGTAAGAAAGGATGATTTCATTGTCCTTGGAAATTTATCTGTCAAGGTTTAGATTCATTGATGGGAATGGGAAAAGATTTGATTTTGGGAGGATGTTTGGGGGTGTGATTCATCTTTTTTGGGTCTCTATTTCCTCATTTATATTGTTTGTCTAGACTAGTGTTATGTAAGGGTTTGAGGCCCTCATGTCTCCTGAGGCCTAGGCGAGAGGTGAAGGGAGAGCATATCAAAGTGAGGCAAACAACATAAAAACCAAGCAAATATTTTGTTATTCACATTCTAAGGACCAAATATTCAAGTCTAAATCCGATATGCAACCATTGGTATTATGTTTCATTTTTTTCCTCCCAGACTAGTTGGAATTCTGACATCTTTAAGAATTCAAGGAATAAAGAAATAGTCGAGTTGTCTTCTCTCTTGTGAATTCTTGATAGTTTTTTTTTTCATTGATAAGCCATTTATTCCAACTTTTGAGTCTTCAGTTATGCTATGGAATTCAAAGGTACCTCTAAAGGTTCAAGTATCTACATGGTTGCTTGCACATAAAAAACTTAATACAATGAATTGCTTCAACAAATGTTGTCTTCATATTCTCTTCACCCACAATGGTGCATTTTTTGTAAGCACTGATGCAGAGAGCATGGTCACTTGTCTACACATGGTTCCTTTGGGACAAAATTATGGAATAGTCTTTGGTAGTTGTGGGGATTCCTTGTGTGAATCCAAAAAGCTGTGGCATGTTTTTCATTATTCATTAGAGGAATTTGATTCTAATACAAAAGCCAATATTTTATGGAATTTGTGCTATTTTGGTTTCAGTTTGGCTGGTATGGATGGAAAGAAATGGGAGATTTTTAATGATATGGAGACTACAAAGGAAGATTTATGGGATAAAGTTTCATTCTTGGCTTCTCTTTGAGCTTCAACCACTAAGGAATTTGGAAGGATGCCACTTTTTTTGATTAAATAAAATTGGGCTCCAGTATACGAGGAATGTTGACATATTGGACAACTTTTATTTTTGGAGGTTTTTACTTTACTATGGTCTTCTCTTTTGTTTCGATGTTTCCTTTGTTATTTGTATCTCTTTGAGTACTCCTTCCTCTCTCATGTACTTTTCCACTCTATTACTTACAATTAAATTCTCGTTCACTATAAGGAAAAAAAACGAGGTTTTAAAGCCCATAGAGAAACTCTGCATGATACAGGCCTTCTATTTATAAAGATTTGGGTCATGCTGTAGATTATGCCTCAGATTTAAAAGGCCCAAAAACGGGTTGGTCCATTTAAAGCTAAAAGCCAGAGTTGTTTTGAGAAAAAGTAATGCTAGATGNGACCAAATATTCAAGTCTAAATCCGATATGCAACCATTGGTATTATGTTTCATTTTTTTCCTCCCAGACTAGTTGGAATTCTGACATCTTTAAGAATTCAAGGAATAAAGAAATAGTCGAGTTGTCTTCTCTCTTGTGAATTCTTGATAGTTTTTTTTTTCATTGATAAGCCATTTATTCCAACTTTTGAGTCTTCAGTTATGCTATGGAATTCAAAGGTACCTCTAAAGGTTCAAGTATCTACATGGTTGCTTGCACATAAAAAACTTAATACAATGAATTGCTTCAACAAATGTTGTCTTCATATTCTCTTCACCCACAATGGTGCATTTTTTGTAAGCACTGATGCAGAGAGCATGGTCACTTGTCTACACATGGTTCCTTTGGGACAAAATTATGGAATAGTCTTTGGTAGTTGTGGGGATTCCTTGTGTGAATCCAAAAAGCTGTGGCATGTTTTTCATTATTCATTAGAGGAATTTGATTCTAATACAAAAGCCAATATTTTATGGAATTTGTGCTATTTTGGTTTCAGTTTGGCTGGTATGGATGGAAAGAAATGGGAGATTTTTAATGATATGGAGACTACAAAGGAAGATTTATGGGATAAAGTTTCATTCTTGGCTTCTCTTTGAGCTTCAACCACTAAGGAATTTGGAAGGATGCCACTTTTTTTGATTAAATAAAATTGGGCTCCAGTATACGAGGAATGTTGACATATTGGACAACTTTTATTTTTGGAGGTTTTTACTTTACTATGGTCTTCTCTTTTGTTTCGATGTTTCCTTTGTTATTTGTATCTCTTTGAGTACTCCTTCCTCTCTCATGTACTTTTCCACTCTATTACTTACAATTAAATTCTCGTTCACTATAAGGAAAAAAAACGAGGTTTTAAAGCCCATAGAGAAACTCTGCATGATACAGGCCTTCTATTTATAAAGATTTGGGTCATGCTGTAGATTATGCCTCAGATTTAAAAGGCCCAAAAACGGGTTGGTCCATTTAAAGCTAAAAGCCAGAGTTGTTTTGAGAAAAAGTAATGCTAGATGGACTTAAAAACTAGACTTGATAATCTCAACCATTGAATAGGTAGTAGGTCCCAATAAATGCTGAGACCCACAGTGAAATAAATTGTTATAATTATCAAGTCTAATTTTTAAGTCTACTTTTTAATTTCATGTAGCATTGCTCTTTGAGAAGTGCTGCCCTAGTTCAAAACCCAAACTCATCTGCTACAATTGATTAATACGTATATTGGGAAGAAAAAATAAAAAAAATTAATTGATGATGACATTTTGCAGTTCATGCTTTCACATAAAGCCAGCCTGGCAAAACCCCACCTCATCCTTTCCAAACAAATACCCCAGCCTGTCATGGGTGGGGGCGAACAAGACCTCAATAAAATAAGACAGCTTGATGGGTTATATTCGTAAGTTATAATGCTCCCTATCTTCACAATGGATTGGGCCAAGGAGTATTTGTTTACAAGGAAGTGAATAACATCAGACCCTAGGAACCAAAGGACCAAATTTAGAGCAATAGTTGGAAAATCAAAAACAAAAAATATAATGTAACAACAAAATGCAGGGAAGTCAATAGCAACACGGTAAGAATCTTATTTCGAGCCATGCACAGTAGATTTGTTTGGAAGTCTCGGTCCTATGACCACAAAATCAAGATTTACCCATCAAGTTCCACAAGAAGTTGATTGATAAAAGCCTCATGGTCCTGCTTTTTGGTATGTATAAACTTGCCACGGACACCAGCAAATAGGTCGAAATCCTCCACGAATATGATTACAGGAGCCTACAGCGTACAGAAGGCAGCAGATGATTCAGCAAACACTAAATGCTGCATATAAAATACAGATTCTACGAATATTAACTCTGATGAACTGACTAAAACTCTTTCACTTCCACCTAAAAGAATTGCTCCAACTTTCACCAATGAAGTCAAGAAAAAGTTACACACAGGAAGGAGAGAATTTGTGCCATCTCTAGCAAGTTGCAGAACTGAATGAAAATTTAGTACAAAATTTGAAAGTTTCAAATAACACGGAATTAATGCATAAGATTTAATGCAAGTCTAAGCCCCTTAGATATTCAATTGTAAAAGCATGGGAAAGAGAAGAAAAATTTTCTAAGCAGAATTTATTTAAGTAGTATGAACATTTTAAAATTATCGTGATTCCTAATTTAATTTTTTAGTATGAAGCCAGATTTTACAGCTTAAGAACTAAAATCTATTCATTTTCTAGAGGCTTATACACATAATTATAAATAAACAACTATAAGTCCAACCAAGTTGCAGAACAATCAATCCCTCATGATTGATGAAAGTGTTAAAAGATCCAATTTTTCTTGAACATAAATTTCTGAATTTTACTACTTTGAACTAGTCATCAATTTCTCTTGATTAGTCCAATTGTGTAAAGAACATAGATAGACATATATACACACAAAAAAAGTAAGCTTAAGAAACCAACCAGATCACGTGCTGTTTGAAATAGTTCTCTAACATTTGATGCACTTTGGCCAACCCATAAACCAGCCTCCAACTGTTGGGCTTTGACTTCAACAACAGGCACCTTAGCTTCTGCAGCTATGGCTAGCGCAAGGGATGTCTTCCCAGTTCCCCTCTCACCCACAATAAGAACTCCCTGCACAAAGTGTTAAAAAACTTCAGATACAAGGCATAATGTGAGTTTAAGTGTAAACTTATCCTATGAGCGAGCACATATAACAGTTCTAAACCCACATAAAAGAGCACAGCTTAAACTAAATGTTGAGCAAGCATCAAAATTAAACTAAAATGAGAATCAAATGAAAATCTAAGCATACAATTGTCCAAGAAACTGTTCTCCCCATCCCCCCCCCCCCCCCCC